TTGACTCAGACTCAGATCCTTACCTCTCTCTTTGCTCTCATAACTGCAGCTTGTTCTCTTATGACATCCTGTTTCATATCCATCTGTATATCGTCTTTTTTTTCGTTTCAAAACTTAAAACTCACTATTTATGCAATATTTCCATATTCCATACCACCTACCCAAACCAATTACATTCACCAGGTAAACAAAAGATAGTAGACCAAAAAGGAGCTGGATTAATATACGGTTGCTAATGTGTATATATATATATAGCATTACTTCCACTTAAATGTTGTATTTTTATGACCATCGAGTTTCAATTATTGGATCTGTGTTAACTTTAATTCTGATTAACAAATGAAAAAAAACATAATTTCTTAATTTTTCCAGAATGTTTTCCTTTGATCCTTTATTTATAAAATACATATTAATTAAGTCTAAAATTGCAGTAGAGTCTTCTAATCCAGCAAAAATTAGATTTGTACTATCTATTGATCTCTTTTTAATTCAGTCACCGGCAACCTTATGGCTTAGTGGCTATATTCTGTGATATTCTGTGGCCACGACCACAGAATATCAATACAATGAAATGTAAAAAGGAATTCATACAAAAGTATGTTTATACAAACATCATTATTGTGTGCATTCAGTGTATGTAGTTGAGCTGATCTCGACACAGTGTAGGGCAGTTTTCAGTTTTTTAGCAGTTTATGTTTAAACTGGCTGGCCTTTGTCTACACACCCTTTTCTGCTTTCTAACCATCTAGCGGAGCAGTAACCTTTATCGCTGCTTGCCTTCACCCTCAGCTAACTAACCTCCTGACCTACTTCCTGTGATCTGTTTCTGTCAGCAGCATCTTGTGGTTGCGTCGGATGTGATCTCGTCCCACAGCCATTAGTGGAAGCCTGGTTAACAGCAAGTGGAGTTAAGTTTGTCTAATAAACAATGACAGACACACTGCAACTAGCTGCCTGCTATGGCTGTGTTGACACCTCTAAACAAATAAACAAGCACAAAATAAAAGGGATGAGGAGCATAAAGGAAACGCTTTAACACAAGCCTGGATGTATTTCATGAATAATTCAAACCCTTGTAAGTTCTGAGAGAGAAAGAAGATGCACACACACACACACACACACACACACACACACACACACACACACACACACACACACACACACACACACACACACACACACACACACACACACACACACACACACACACACACACACACACACACACACACACACACACACACACACACACACACACACACGGTGTCTGTGAATGTGTGCAGCAATATCCATCCATCCATCCATCTTCTTCCGCTTATCCGTGGTCGGGTCGCGGGGGTAGCAGTTCCAGCAGAGAGCCCCAAACTTTCTTTTCCCTGGCGACATCAACCAGCTCTGACTGGGGGATCCCAAGGCGCTCCCAGGCCAGCGAAGAGATATAATCCCTCCACCTGGTCCTAGGTCTACCCCTTGGTCTCTTCCCAGCTGGACGTGCCTGGAACACCTCCCTAGTGAGGCGCCCAGGTGGCATCCTAACTAGGTGCCCGAACCACCTCAACTGGCTCCTTTCGACGCGAAGGAGGAGCGGCTCAACTCCGAGTCCCTCCCTGATGACCGAACTTCTCACCTTATCCCTAAGGGAGACACCAGCCACCCTGCGGAGAAAACCCATCTCGGCCGCTTGTATCCGCGATCTCGTTCTTTCGGTCATGACCCATCCTTCATGACCATAGGTGAGGGTAGGAACGAAAATGGCCCGGTAGACAGAGAGCTTTTCCTTCTGGCTCAGCTCCCTTTTCGTCACAACGGTGCGGTAAAGCGACTGCAGTACCGCTCCCGCTGCTCCGATTCTCCGGCCCATCTCACGCTCCATTGTTCCCTCACTCGAGAACAAGACCCCGAGATACTTGAACTCCTTCACTTGGGGTAAGGACTCATTCCCTACTTGAAGTGGACAGTCCATCGGTTTCCTGCTGAGAACCATGGCCTCAGATTTGGAGGTGCTGATCCTCATCCCAGCCGCTTCACACTCGGTTGCGAACCGATCCAGTGAGTGCTGAAGGTCGCAGACCGATGAAGCCATTAGAACCACATCATCTGCAAAAAGCAGTGGTGCAATCCTTAGTCCACCGAACTGCAGACCCCCTCCCCCATGACTACGCCTCGAAATCCGATCCATGTATATTACAAACAGGATTGGTGACAAAGCAATATGTCCAGTGGCGTTTTCTCCCGGAGGCCAAGGGAAGCCAGGCTTCCCCTGTTTTTTCGGATTGTAGTTATAATTTAAATAAATAAATAAAAACACTTTGTTTTGTTTCGATAATTCTCCTTTGCTGTGTGTTGCTGCCGGCCGGCTCTCCCCCATTCTCATTGAGTACTTTACAAAGAGTGAAACAGCGCCCCTCTAGATGTTATGGTGAAACAGTAGATTGCACTCTCTGTTGCGAGAGGAGGCCAGCCGAATCTGGCTTCCTTTGGTGAAAAAAAATGGAGGGATTGACCAATCAGATGAGGCCCACGTGATGCCCCTGCCAACCTGTGATTGGTCAGGGCCATGCCAAGGGAAGCCAGCCGCCTCTAGCTTCCCTTCAGGGGCGGCTGGCGGCTGGCGATTTGATTGGACACTGCCATCCAATCAAATCACATCAACATCAGTTTTAATACTGTAACTGTCATCACCGCCGTTAGAAATTATCAAGCAAATGAAGCATTATGGAGGGTGGAGATTTGGCGTACTTAATCAAACATAACTTTACTAAACTTCCGCTACAGCAGCAACTGAAAATTAAATCAGATGACAGGCCAATGCCCGCACTCGAGCTGTGTGTACACAGAGGAAAAAGGGAGAGAATCGGACGTTCAATGAGGACAATTATGTCCGCACGGAGTGGCTAACTGGAAGCGCTAAACTTCAGCGTCTATTTGGCTGGCCATGTCTTCTTTTTGACAAGGATTCGTGCTCCCTGAACAATCCTTGGGCAACTTCAGGATTCATCGACCTTGCCAACCTGTCACGGGCAATTGAGAGGCACGGTAAATCCAAAAATCACATAGATTGTGTGATTGTCTGCATACATTAATAAGTAAAATGCTTAAATTAATAAGAAGAGAGTTTCAGCTGGAGAGTGCGTGCGGACCTGTCGGTTAGATAACAGGCGTGTGCAAGTCCTGCATCTGTGTGATACAAATGTGTGTAAAATGATACCGGGCGCTGTAATCACTCATCTGGTTACGTTATTGACCGCCCCCCGACCCAAAAAATGGGCTTCCCCTACATTTTTCCCCACGCCACGCTACTGAATATGTCAGGTTGAATTCATGGTATTTAGGTTGAGCTCCATTTCAAGATCCCCTTCACCGCTGGAGTCGGAGGCATCATAACATCACCGTTTCCAATTGGTGCTTTATATTCTGAGCAAAGCAGATGAAAAGGTATCTGCAGGGTTGATGTTGACGTCCAGTCACCACACTTGATGTTATACATGGTGGCTCAAAGAAATGAAAGGGCAATGCGTATAAAAGGACTTTTCAGAGAGAAAGAGGAGCCAAGATAATTCAAAACATCAGTTTAATCAAAGCCAGGTGGTAAATATTTAACATTTTAAAATCAGCTGAATTGTTTCTTTGAGTGATGATGTTTTAGTGTGATTGCCAACTTTGCTGCATTATAAGCCATTTTGCCAACAGTTTGATGACAAGTTATGTCTTTTCACCACCAATGGAAGATATTGTCAGTGCATACAATTCAAGATAAGTGAAGGGGTCGCTGTGGCTCAGTGGGGTGAGTGCTGGACTTCGAATCAGGGGATAGCAAGTTCGAGTCCCACTGCAGTCAGCATGTCGTGTGTCCCTGGGCAAAACACTTCACCCCAAATTGCTCCTGTGGGGATTGAATGACATGTAATGTAATATCTTAGCCCCTTAATAATAAGTGAGAGGCTGTTCTTAGTTCAAGTTTAAACAGTATGACTTGAATGTGTCATAAACCAAAATAAATTCCCATTGTGTGTATCTGTAAAGGCATTTGTTGGCACCTTAGACATTACGTTCTATTTTTGTTGCTGATGAATAATTAAGAAATGTATGTAATGACTGATTTTGTTCCCTTAACGTACACGGAACTTGTCCAACACCGAAAATAATAAAACTGATTTAGAACTGAACAAGAGCTTGTTAAACATAGTTAATTATTTTGTACAAAGTAATAGAGGGCCTGAAAATAGAAGGCTTGTTTATGAAACCAGGATATTATGAATAGCACAATCCAAGAAGTAAATTCATTAATTCTTGTTTTCGGATTGAAAACCCTGTAAGAAAGACTGCTTCAAAATGAGGTCAGCTCTTACATGTTCAAAAAGAGTTTGTAAAATTCCAGATACTGATATATAACCTTTTTTATGTTTTAGTTGCATACTCATATAGTTAGGTACCCCACTGCCTTTCATGTTTCCCTATGTATTTCCCACTCAGCAGCACAGCAGTTGTTGAATCAACTCAGAGCTTCCCCTGAATGCCCCCGGGTGACTCAGCTTAGTTGCTTGTATGTGTGTTGTCAAAGTGTTTATGTGATGTTCTGAGAAGACTTGAATTATTGTGGGTTCATGGCAGGAGTGGGATGCTTTTTCTTGCTTTGGAAGGTTGGATTGAAGGGGAAATGGACGATAGGGGAGCAACCCACAGAACAAGATGTTCTTTGACATCCTCCAGACATGTTGCATCACTGCTTTTTGCCTGGGAACACTGACCTGGATATTTATGAGCAGCAAGTTTACCAAAGCCTGCTTGAATGTGTGTTTGGGTTTTGTGCATCCATTCTCTAACCCCTCCATCAAGTAGCATCTTTCCAGCACCTAATTAGGACCAGAGAGGGCCCCTATTGACTCTGAACAACAGACCCGCTTGCTAATGAGACCTCGGAAATAAAGATCACTGACACAAAAAGAGCTTCATTCAGGAATCTTTTAATTAATTCACTTTTTCCTTTGTCTTTTTTTCAGCTCCAAAGACTTGCAGCCCGAAGCAGTTTGTGTGCAAGGACGGGGTGACGTGTATCTCTAAAGGCTGGCGCTGCGACAGAGAGAAGGACTGCCCCGACGGCTCTGATGAGGAGCCTGATGTTTGTGAGTCTGGAAAAATACAGAGTTTAAAAAATCCTATATATAATATCAATAAGGAAATGCTTTACCGCTCATGAAGATCTCTGTGTGTATTATATAATGTAATGCACCCCCTGCCAAGTTGGTTCCAACTGCGGCCCACGGCCCGTTTTTAATTGCCCCGCAGCAAATTTTAAAAGTATAATGGAATATGAACCATGAAACTTGTGCTTGTCTTATATTGGACTTCTTAAATATATATGTAAAAATAGAGCTCTGAAAAAAATTAAGAAACCACTGCAGCCTTATCAGTTTCTCTGGTTTTACTATTTATAAGTAGTGTTTGAGTAAAATTAGCCGTTTTAAATTGTATTCTTTATACTACTGACCAAATGTTTCCATATTGGAATTCAACAGACACTGTAATGGAATGGCTGCCATACTGTACATGTAGAGATTTTTTTTTTTTTGGAGTGGTCTCTTCATTTTTTAGAGCTGTATATTGCACAGTATAGTATTCATGTGTTAATATAAGCCCACTTTTAAAAATAAATTCAGTCAATTAAAGTTGAGAATATTTTCAAACTAATCTTTGAAACTAAAAGTCCAATTACTTATTTACATAACAAGCTTTAAATATACCCATCATATTTCTTCTTATGGAGGCTAAGGTGAGGCTTCTGTTTTAAGGAATGAGTTGCCAACACTTAGGGTAACACAATAAATGAAACCCTATGGAGAGATGATGTAGGCTGTTTTTTTTCTTAAAGCATATTAAAGTATTAAGCATAATTGACCTACATTTGATTGATTTTGCTAACTTATAACTTAATTTATGTGGTAACATAACTCTACTTCGTAGCCCAGCCCTATGTATGTTTTTCATGTGGCCCTCAGTGAAAAAAGTTTGGACCCCCCTGGTTGAGGACACTGTTTTCACATCATGAAGTATTTCTTTTTGTCCATTCAAGTTTATTAACTGTGTGGAAGTGGGTGTAGAAAAACACCCTTTATGTTTGCCATGATCCTATTTATCTAACATTTTCAACCTATCTGTACAGGAGATGTTCTTTTGGAAATTGTGTGAAATATGTAGATTGATTCGACATGAATACTGTTCAACAGAGGCAGTCTCCAATTGTTAAAAAACCTCTGAAATGGATCTTAAACCTGCTATGCTGCCCTTCAAAATAAACATTTGTAACAGCAAAGGTATGCTAATTTGTCACTGTAGCATTTGATACCTTCAGATACATTTGAAAAGTTGTCGTCTAACAGAGTGAGATTGTTGGCCTATTTGATTTATTTGGCTAAAGGTAGCCAAGCTGGAGAAAGTAATGTGATGTTTTATCAGCGAGTGAGAGAGGCCATTCTGCCTTTAAGCAGTCCTGTCGTGCCCAATTAGGAGATTTACAAAGTTTGTCTTTTTTTGATGGATGGGATTTCCTTTTGCATTCAGAGCCACAGAGGATGCAGTCATGAGACAAACCAAAAGTAATGCTCAAAAAAGACAGCCGTCGTTTCAAAGTCTTCATTAGGAGTGGAGATGCTTTGAGGCTGAATCCCAGGGGGGGGGAATGAAAGCAGCAGTGTCCTTTTGGTCAGCCTCTCAGCCTGAAACGCCTGTAGATTTCTAAGAGGACAGAGGGCTTTCGGTGAGAGGGGGGACAGTGTGTGTGTGAGTGTGTGTGTGTGTCTGTGTGTGCGCATGTTGCTTTTTTGAGTGGCGTTTGGCCTGGGAGAGAGTGAGTGAGGCCAGGCCAGAGTGCTGTAGCTGCAGTCTAGACGCAGAGACTGTATGAGCGCAGGTCTGGAAGTCATTAGAGACTCGCCCAGAGCAATGGAGAAACCTGCTGTTTTTCACAACCTGCTCTTTTCCCCCCTTCTCATCTGTGGGCCAGCCTCCTTCAGTGTCTCTATCTGGGACAGAAACAACAGTGACTCCATCTTCTGTCTCCTGCTACTCCCTCTAGCTTATGCCAAACTCTCTCAACAACAACAGTTATTGGATCTATGCTGCAGAAGGACCCAAGTTTTCACAGTGTCATGGTGGAAAAAAGTGATTCAGAGAGACAAAATAATTGCTCATTCTCATCTTAACCCTTCTTAGGTCTTTTGTCTAAGGTCATATTGGTGGCAAGAACAAGTACATCATTATGGTTGAAATAAACACTTTTATCTGCTACTTTAAGTACCATTTTCTTTAGAGAAAATAGAAGGTTAAATAGTCTGTCAGGGGGCTTTTTGGAGTTGTCTTTTTGTTGGTGATGTTCTGTAGTTTTCTTTTTGTCAAACAACATATGAAGATCAAAACCATCAAAAAATGTATCCTGAGCTGTATTAGCAAGGACAGGAAATCTGATTTAATGTATTCCACAGAGGTTCGGACTTCTTAGGTTGTAAAAAGAAAGTACATCAATGAGCCACAGAGTTGAAGTGGGTGACATATTTCTTGTTACGAGAAACATGGGCTGTTTGTTTGTGTCATTCCCACATACCCCTTAAATAGTTGCTAATGCACCACATCTGTGATTGGCTGAGTTCCCAACAAATGCCTTATCTACTCCTGTTTGAGTAACACTTTTTGAAGTATATATTTGTGACACATTTCCAAACATGTACTCTTAAATGTAACCACAACATCCATCATTCAATTCAATGTTGTCAATGTTTGGTGCATACCAGATGTTAGGTGTCGAAGCTGTGCAGCATAATGAATATCAGCCCAGTTGAATACTGTAAGGCTGATTAACAATTTGTCGCTCGTTAGATGTTTATAGTGTATAGAACAAATAGAAGTTGTCACAAGATTTGAAAATGAAATGTCATGTTTTATGAGCATGTATTCCAAACCGTATGTTCACCATGTACACTGAGTAGCATTTATGGTTTAATTGTTGTGATAAATGTGTTCTTTGTTAAGGTGCTTTTGCAGATGCTTCTAGATGAAAAGATGCACGAGAGAGGTTTATGTATTCACTCATGTGGATGGGGCTTCACAGTGGCCTTTGTTAGTGTGTTGGCTATTGCCAGTGAAGTCAGCCGCTGTCCAGTGCAGCTGCCCTGCTGTGTAACCCCCACAATGCTGTTCTTTGTACCCCGGGGTGCTGGGTCAGACTGGCATAGAGGGATACCGAAAGACTAAGACAAAAACAAAATGGTTGTCTGAGCATATGACCTTTTTATACAGAGCTTTGATCTGCTCCCCCAATCAGTGAACAACTGAAAGACATGCAACGATGATAAATGTGAATGTTGTTTGTCTGGATAGCCTTCAGGTAAGGAGGAGACTCGCGTAGAGCTATCATATACTCAGGTTGTAGACTTAATTGGGCTCCTAAAATATTCCCACGTGCAGTGAGTGTGCCCTGCAAACACAGGAAGTGTGTAACGCTGAAATGACGTCCCCGGCCCCTGGCCTGTAATAAGGGCAGTTTTACAGACAGTTCACACCTAGGCTGCAATTAGCTCTTTAGGAAAAGGAGCACTTTTGTAACAGCCACTTTCAGAATGGAAAACACAATAGTTCATGATGTAATGTGCGTCTCACTGACTCCTAACAAATAAATGAAAGACTGTCTTGAAAATAAATGAAATATTTTATTTATAATATTCTAGACCACAATAAGGGGGTTATTGTTTGGTGTTTATTTGATACATTTTGTCATTTACAAAGCAGTTTACCCAAGTGTTATATTGTTCAGATTTAGATGTGGAGGAAATCTGTTTGATCCTGCTACTGTCTCCTAAAAGCAGCCACCACTCGGTCCAGATAGCCATCAACATGTCAAGGGAAACAGCGTTTGCTCAACATGAAAGAGTCTGTCGCCTTGCAGCACCGTGTTCCTACCTGCAGCAGGTGTGAGACAATCTGCTCTCCTCTACACACATACCCACAATTAATTCCTCCATGCACACAATAAAGCAAACCTTTCTAAAATAAGTTCAAAGATGCTTCACATTGTGTTCTTAAAATGGTGCTCCCCACTAGTCACTAAGCACACGTGGTCTTTTAGCCCAGAATGTTTCAAGTCAATTCAAAAACCTCCAACCTAAAAATATATGTATTTGTTATTCTTGAGGGTAAGCTGTGATCTGACCTATTATCGCATAGGGACACCTTGCTACAAAACAGTTGCCTATTTACATTCAGCAGACGCAGGGAAACATTTACATGGTTTTTGTGTTTTGTTTCACATTATCTCCCGTTTTAGCTCTGCTAACGTACCATCAACACCCGAGGGAAGTATTTGGCTCACTAGCAGCTAGCTTATAGCTTTGACATGCTATCTGTCACGACTAGAAACTACTGAAAGCAGATAAACTGCAATGTGATGATCATCATTCAAACAATGACCTTAAAAATGCTAAAATGCTCCATAGAGTTGCAGTTGCAGGGGATAAATCTGTTGGTTTATCCATTCGAGGAACACTTTGACATTTCACATAATTATTTTTTTCCATTGTTTAACTTTGGTTTATTAGATTATTGAGGTCACCCCAGATATTACAGTGCACAACACTTAATTGATGAATAATTAAGATGATTTACTACTCAACCTAAAAATCCAAAGCCCCCTTATTATCTAGTTTCAAATATTTGTAAGATCTTTTGTCACTTATGACTTCATCTTACAAAGATAGGAGTAGATTACAATAATGATGTTTACATGCTCATGCTTGCTGAAGATTCAAAAAGGGCCCACAACTAGTGACTACACACAGAGCTAGTGCAACAGTAACAGCAAAGACATGTAGAGAAACTGCATAAATAATATATATAAACATGCTCTATTTAAGGGTGCGGTGAGCCGGATGTGATCCACAGGCCACCAGTTGGCCATTTTTACATGAGGACTTGAGGCTTGGGCAGCAGAGTGGGCAAAGCTGGCCCCTCGAAGAAGGACAAGAAAAGCGTGTCAGGGGTTTTAAATGTTATAAAGACCATTATGTAATCTCAGTAGGGCTCTCTGAAGAAGGAGGTGGGGCAGGACAGCAGCCCCCATTAGGGAGGGGTAGGGGGA